GAGATTCATAGCAAATGCTGAAAAGTGTTGGCTGGAGTGAATGAGACAGTGGATTTGTATTTATAAGATCATTGATTACACATCCATGGGTGAGAGCTTACTCAGGTCTCCTTTGGAACACTAAGCTCAGAAAAACAAAAAAAATTAGAAAAATCTAATTTCTGATCAGTGGATTGTAACAATGCTTTGTACTCTGATAAAAAAAAGGATTTGCGCTTATATAGTGCTTTTACAGCCATTGCATGTTCTCCTCAGTTATTGAGGCTTTAGAAATGGTGCAGAGGAGAACCACTAGACTAATCCTTAGTTTAAATTATCTTTGTGATCAAGGCAAGTTAAAAGTGCTTGGACTCTGCATTGTGGAGAAATGTCTGATGGAATCTTACATTTTTTTGAGCTAAAACCTGCCCACAAAACTGGGCAAGTTTTCTCGCCATAGCTTACCAAACATGCAGCTATTGCCAACCCAATGTTAAGAATCAAGTTGCATCTCTATCCCATATTAACATGCATCATTCTCAGAAGAATGCATCACTCATTAGACAACTGCCATACAACCAGCATTGCCTGCAGCTATGCCACCTTCGAGAGCTCAAAGTGTACTTGAAGGGGCATTGGCATCTGACATCCGCCCTATTCATGATTGGACTGAGATGCCTGTCAAGTGCAAGTTAGTACTGAGGTTCCACAACAGAGGAGAGCTGCCCTTTCTTCAAAAGTCAGACAGAGAAGGCCACATCACTACACAATGTCTGCCCAGTCAGAGATCGCCACCCGGCTCAATGCCCTGTCTAGGGTTTGGAGGATTGGGCAGCAGGACAGAAGAAGGTCAATGACCTTCTCCATGCTTCAAGAGTAAGTGCCACGCTCTGCTCCTTGTCCCAGCAAAACAGGTAAGGATCATTTGTGGTAACAATGAACTGCTGACATGTGACAGGCAATCAGTATGCTGTGTCAGGCACTGCCTGTAACCATTGGCCATGATCATTCTGCCTTTTGCTTCATACAGCTGCAGCCACTGAGCCAAGCACATCAGCCAAGAGGCAGCTATCTCCTGTGCAGGAGACCTCCTCAACATCAGAAGAAGCTGTGCAGGGCCTGGAAGAGCCATCAACCAAGGCTACCCACTGGAACCCCCTGCCCACCACCACAACCAGCTGCAACACCGAAATCTTGGTGGGCACAACAGGTGAAGGCAGTGTCGGACAGGAGGCCACTGAGGAACACACACTCACAGTTGAGTGGATGAGTGAATGTTAAATGCCTTAGGTCACTGGCACTCAGAGGACTGTAGAGGAATAGGCAGCAGATGAGCCTGCGGCAGGAGAAAACCCTGTGGTCCCAGCACTGAAGAACTTTATGGACATCTTCAGAGAGAAGCAAGATCAGTTGGCGGGTGTTTGGGACACTATGGCTCTCCTCACTGAGAAGCTGCAGCAAAGCAGCCAGTCCAGTGACCATCAGGCTGCCTCCATTGACAGGTTGATGGTCACAATGGAGAGACTGGCTTAGCATCCTTAGGATCTGCTGGAATGCTGTACTCACCTGGTCTCCACTGCCCCATGCATTGGTACTCAAGTCTGAAGCCAAGGTGAGGGTGGGGTGGGGAGCCTTGGCCACAGTCCAAGTGCCTCATCCTCACATGGAGGCAGGGGAGGACCCACACACTGGACCCTCAGCAGTCACTTACACCTAGCCTGTCCCCCTCTTCGATCCTTGAGAATTCTGGCCAGGAAGGGACACACTGCTTCAGGCAAGAAGACCCTCATTATGTCTGTCCTCTCTAGACAAAAATGCTCCCAGGGTCACCTAACCAGTGTCTACAGGCTTCCTCAACCCCATCCTCACAACAGGGGAGCACAGTGAGGTATAGCGTGAGGGAGAGGAGGAGGAGAAACATTTTGTAACAGCACATGGTGCTCACCACTGACACTTATGGACATAGTTTGAGATTGTGATAAAAGTTTGTTTCTCACTGTTCATGTGGTTGTCCATGGCTCTGAGGGTGCTGGATGTTTCATCCCACTTTGTGGCATCATTCAGCAGTCCCTAAGGATGCGTTATAGTTGATTGGGTATACACTCAGCATCAATGAAATCATGTCACAACGGGGTTAACAATATGTGTACATGACATTGGCTCACTCTGTAATACCTTAGGGCCCCTGCCCTTCAACATGGCCTTCAGTTCACCAGCTGTGTGTGTGGGAAAGTCTATCTCAGGTAGTTTCCCCCTGCAGTGACAGTGCCAGGAAGGTCCTACACACAGTGCCGGTCAATGCTGCACGATGACCAGGGGGTACACAACCTGCATGTCTGCATCATTAACACCTCTTGTACATAATGGCAATGTTCTTCCCCTGTCATCACCCAATGGCCACTTGTAGATACAGTCCCCACCTTCACCATGGACTGGGTGTCTTTTCCTTCGCAGCTGTTACACTGATGCAGCTGTGTACTGAATGTTGTAGGGCACAACGCTAGTGCACTGCCTAGATGTCAGGATGGTGGCAATGGCTCTCTGAAAGTTGGGTGACCATTTCTGTGGTGAGAAGGTGCATGTGGCTGGTGCTGGTGGGTCATAGCCTGAGCTGAGGTTTGGCTGTTGGCAACATGGAGGTCATTTGGAGCAAGCAGAAAGCTGAATCTGACAAGCACCCACTCTGAGTTCCATGTCAAGTTTTCCAATGGCTTGTTTGTATGGTACATTTGGTAAGATTATAACATATGGCAAGTTGGGCTGTTAACAAACCATTTATTTCTTGTTAAAGAGCATCATTTGTGACCTCTCTACTCCCCGGTGACAATTATGCCACACCACTTGAGCAAAAGCTGAGGGGGAATTTGCAGCAAGATCTTCTTGCATCAGGATGACCATTTCAGCTATTCTTACCAGCATCTTGGCATAGCTCATGTTATCCAGTTGCTTATAGAATTCCATCAGTATAGTTAGAAGTGAGCTAAGTGAAGTTTGTAGGGTGATGATGAAAATGGATCGTTTTCACATTAATAGTTAAATTTTATGTTTGCAAGTTTCGGTGGCTACAATTTCACATTATAAAAGACCAGATCTAGGTTAGGAGACAACAAGGTGCAGGGCTGGATGAACACAGCAGGCCAAGCAGCATCATAGGAGCAGAGAGGCTGACGTTTCGGGCCTAGACCCTAGGTTAGGTATTAGATATACCTTTTTGTCCCCGAAAGCCCTCTGACTTCTGGAACAAGCTGAATATTCACACAATAGATGGCATTCCCTGAATTCCTTGCACCAAAAAATGGGATTGTTTCCGACTGGAGGAGATCATCTCGTACAGAAGATGGAATTATTCAGGCCTGAGGGAACTCCTCATCTAGTTTCTATCACTTCAGGGAGATGGAGAAGAATCTCTTAGACTTTTGTATCACAGTGTGAATTGGATAAGTTATCTGAAGAAAAAGAATGTGCAGGGTCACAGGGAAAAGGTGGGAGAGTGGAATGGGGTGAATTGTTCTCACACTGAACCAACAGGAATGTGATGCGCCAAGTGGCTTCCTTCTGTGCTGTGACATTTTGTCATTCTGTGATAAATTGGTCTGCATTTTTACATGGCTTTTTTCCCCTTCCCAGGAGGTCACATGGTTTCTGGGTTGGGTAGAGAGAGTATATATTGCACTGCTTATTATATCACAAATTTGAGGACAGGCTGGCTAGACAATATTCATGTCTTTGTATCATCAGAAATTCCAAGAAAGAGAAACCTCATTTCTTTCTCTTACAACAATAATCAAGTGTAGCTCCAAAACAAAGGCATTGCAATATTGTGGCGCAGTCATACATTAAAGCTCACTCAATGTAAATAATGTCATTATGTATTCAACAACTGGATGGCTTTCTTTGTAGTGCACATAAGAAATTATGCTGATTACTAAAAGGATTCTAAGCAGTGAGTAATGCTCAAATCATTGAGATTTTTTAAACTGAGTTTTTTTTATAAGGAACATACTGGCTCCAGATTAACAATTAATTCAATGCTCTAAACATGTGCAGAAACATCCTTGTTATAGATCAATCTGACATGTCAGCAGAACTAATTACAACTTGACAAAGGCATGTTAGTTTCTCAGTGGAAAAAACATTAATGCTGTTGTTCCCTTTTTTGGGAGCAGATGAAAAGCTGGTCAGGAACAGCCTTTCTCCAGTGTGAAACAGTTTGAAAATTGATACTGACAAAAATTGTTGAAAGCTGTTAGAATGTTTAATTGTTGCTTGATATCCATCAAGAGCAAATTATTCTACCAACAAAAATATAAAATGTTACATGTTGCATTTCTATTGTAAAGTGACCTGTCTTGAAAGCTTTGAAATTGGGTGTTATACTCAGTGAATTATAATAGAAGTCCTGCAATGATTTATAACAGAGGGACTACAAGAAATAACTACATCAAAACTCATGAAAATATGAGAACAGCCCCACATAAGATGCTTCTACACTAATCTAGTTTACTAAATGTGGATTTCATGGAAAATTGAGATTTTGGTACTTAACAAAAAAGTTTTATTCACTACCAAACCATAGAATAGAACTAGCAAAATGCCGGGTCCTTTTATGACCAAAAATTCTACCAAAGAACAATCGATCATATTATTTCTTTCACCTCCAATCTAAAAGACCCCAGGAAAGGAGCAGTATCAGAGAACTTTACTACTGCCTACCTGTTTCCAGTTGGCATTTTTTTCATCTTTATTGTTTCAATCTGTCTGGACCATGGCATTCAAGAACATAGAAATGAGAACACTGGGTCAAAATTTAATTCTTTTTTTAAAAATTCCAGCAAAGCAACAGTTAATAGAAAACAAAGGAAGTGCTCATTTAACAGTGAAGGATTTATGCTGGAGTATCATTTTTCATCAGTTAATAAGCAGGCAGTGGACTAAATGATAAAGTTCACATAACTCTTTTCTTCCACATAATCACCATGACTGTGCAGAATACTAAAATACAAAGTGCATTCCAGTTTCAATTTATCATGTATTGTGCCTGCATTTGCACAGGTTTATTTCATTTCCTTTCCGTTAAGGTAATTTGTACTTCATACAACAAAATAAATTATACAGAGGATCAAAACTTTGGTACCATAGCCACTTTGGAACAGTTATTAAAATCTAATCTTTAAAGAGTAGGCAAAAACCTGAGCACGTTGACAAAAGACAACTTCAAGAAACTCTCACTTAAGCAAGTTAAATTTACCCCTCTTTCTCAGTGACTGTACAACAGTATTGCTGCTCATCAATGAACTATGGGAAAAAATTAGTTTAAAAAGATAGAAAACAGAACACTCTCTGTCATACATCCTGTGATCATTTTAATGACCTCAGTTCAGCAAGTTAAGTCCAAAAGGTACAAAACTTCTGTATTGAAATAAAAAATATTTGGATGGGCTTTCTGCTTTCCCCTTTCTTTAATGATTTATCATACTTTTTCAGAAATCCTTAGATGTGTGTCAGAAAATAAAAATAGATTGCTTGAATAGAATACAGCAACACCATAACAAGACTTGGATAGGCAAGTAATTTCCGTTTCCATTTGTGCTGACCTAACCCCTTTTAACTCCCCCTGTAATCTTTGAGTGGCACACACCTGTAAAAGCTAGATTTATTTCTCAACAGTATGAGGCACCAAAGCTTCAATTACTGATGACTGCCCAAAGCAACAAGTTGATCCCATTTACTTAGTACTTATTGTTCTGACAATTTATCCAAAATCCTCATATATGACAGATGGAACAATTACTCTCAGTCGACTTAAAAACAAACAATTTGGTTTTGAAAGAAAAGTTAATGCTTCTAATATAAGCCTACTGAAACATTCACCTTAGACTTGGGGTTAATAAGACACTTGAAGTCACAACATATGTCACAGCATTCATTTTTTCTCACTTTGCTTCATGTTAAGTCAACAAAACCTTTTGGGTTTCATCATGTCCTGTATATTTTCTTAATTAGATATTCCAATCTAATTAAATTTTAAAATTTCTTCATGCATAGCATCACTATAATTAGGTTCTTTGAAATGGAGAATTATACCATTTTTTGGGAAAAAAATTGATTTATAACCCTAGTTAGTGCTTTCAATTTTATCAAAAGATTTCCAAGAAGAAAGATGTTCAGTACCGTAATTAAGTGTTGGATTCTCATTTCTCTCCTATTTTTGCACATATTTAGTACCAGGCAATGTGAAGCAGAAGCCCATTTTCTTCCTCTATTCAAATGGATATTGTGTAAGTGATACTGCTTGCTAAAAACTGCCTGAAAAATCTTAGAAGACTGACCACGAGGGTGGTAGAATGCAACGAATATTACTAAGAGTCAAAAGAAATCATACAAAGTATATAGTTACCATCAGGCAGTTATTGCGTGAAAATTCAGTATGCAAAAACAGTCTTTGGATCAGAGCATGAAAGATGGCAGCATAGCCCAGACTTTACACCAACATAGTGGAGTGATTTAAGGGTAAAGTCTCAATGTTTTGAAAGCACAAGTATTGAAACAAAAATGTACTTGCATGCCTGCTAATGGTTTGAATTCAGTAAACCTGGCGTAATTTCCTGAAGGCAAATAAGAAATGCTGATCATAATATCTTATTATAATACTAGGCTGTCTATAACTACCTTTAGTCAAGAAAGGTAAGCCATTCAGTCAGCTGTTTGTGAAAAATAACTGTTGGCTAATTTTTAAAATTGACAAGTGAACTATCTGGTGAGTATTTTTTACTTTTCTATTACTTTGTTAAATGAAAAGCTGTTAATTTATAAATGAAAATATGGTTTACAATCCTTAAAATCAGAAAATTGGTGTTATATTAGTACATAAATCTTAAGTTCCCAAAGGCTGAAAATTTGGTTTAGCTCTTTAAGGTTGCAAAAGGTACACCAAAGAAAATATGAGTGATGAAACACTTTTATTCACTGTGCCATAAGTAGAAGAAAATGGCCCAACTTGGATAAAAATCGTTAGCTATGGATTATAAACAGATTTTCCTGAGAACTCATCAGTAGCATTACTTTCTGTTGCTGCCTTTCTGTGTCGAAGAACTCTTTCCAGCTCATTTTCTTCAGTAACCTGAGTAATGGTTGTCAGTGTTCCAACTTTACTAGATTTCTTCAGGAGAAAGAAAACAAATCCATTACAAAACAAAAAGCACAATTTAAATTCAGTGCACAAAACAAGCATCTTCAGTTCCTGAAAGCTTCTGTTAACTATCTTTGTTAGTATCTGCTTGTAAAATCTTAGTTATATTTTGGATTGCAAACCAGAAAGAAGCCACATGTAAGAGTCTGTGGCAACAGGGAGTTGCAGCAATTTGTGAATGAGACGTTCAAATAAGTTTCATTTTCTTTTATTCTTTCATGGGATGTGGGTATCACTGTCATTTGTTGTCCATCCCTAACTGCCTTTGAACTGTGTAGCTTACTAGGCCATTTCAAAGGATAGTTATAGCTATAGATATTTATAGCTTCATTACAAGTGAAACTCTGCCAGATTCTCTGACCAATTATAACTTCTTATATCACACTTGCAGCTTATGAGGGGCAACAGATTACTTGTTGCTCTCTCCTTACAATACATTCAGGATAAACAAACCAATAGTAATAAAAATTGAAAGAACTGCAGATGATGTAAATCAGGAACAAAAACAAAGTTGCTGTCAAAGCTCAGCAGGTCTGGCAGCATCTGCGAAGGCAAAAACAGAGTTAATGTTCCGGGTCCAGTGACCCTTCCTCAGAACTGGGCAGTTCTGAGGCAGGGTCACCAGACCCAAAACGTTAACTCTGTTTTTTCCAAACCAATAGTAATGCCAGGCTTGCATTTTTCAGTTGTGTTGCACAACTGTCTGTAATGTACATCACAAAGAAATAATCTCTCTAATCAATATTTTGCAAAGGATTAGAGTTCAAGCTTGTCTCAGATAATACTTTCTTATCTGGAATGGAAGAACAGAAATGGCATTTTCTAAAGTATTGTTGTAACCTGTATTTGAGGACAAAGGTTATAAAAACAATGGTCAAGATTTTTCAACATAATAATTGGCCTTTAATATACATTAGGATCGAGGCTGAGATAGACAGATTTTTAATCAGTGAGGAAATCTGAGTTATAGGGAAAAGGAAGGAAAGTGGAATTGAGAATTATCAAATCAGCCATGATCTCATCGACTGGTGGAGTAGACCTGATGGGCTGAATGACCCAATTCTGCTCCTAGATTTTATGGTCTTAATGATTAAAATTTCCTGACCAAGAAAACTAGGCTTTGATTTAAAAATGAGCCAGGTGGGTTTCAAGCATTAACATGCAAATTATAATACCAAAACCTAGTTGATTGGAACTGCATTTTGGTGGATAAAACAATGGATGAAAATTGGGAGAATTTCAAGTGGGTCTGGTGCAAGCTGGGTAATAAATATGGGGTATCCAAAACTAGAGTGCCATGGACGACTAAAGATATTGATAAGAAAATAAGGAAGACAAAGACAGCATATGATGCATAATGGGATAATAATAGCAGTAGAAATTACGAAGAGGAGACTGGCATAACGAAAGCTAAGAGGAAGCACACAGAAGGGATAGCAGGCCATGCTAAAACAAATATTAAAGCGTTCTTCAAACAAATTAACTGTAAAAGATTTGCAAAGGATAGAGGAGAGCCTATAAGAAACAAACAGAGTAAGCAGAGTAAGTATTAAATGAATACTTTGCTTCTATCTTCAACTTCAAATTAGAAAATGATGACAATAATTGAGTTGAAAATGTAAGCAACTGAGCAGTATAGTAATAGATAAAGAAGAGGTCTAAAAAGGCCTGCAGCACTTCAGGAAGATAAATTACTGGGCCTGGATGGGGTACCTCTTTCAGCAATCCAGGATGTAGGGGAGCAAATTATGGAGCTGTTGACAGAAATTTTTGTCTCGGAACACAGGATTAATCCCGGTTGACTGGAGAATTGCAAATGTGACATCACTGTTTAAGAGCACAAAAAGGATAACGCAGAAGACTACAGACCTGTCGGCTTGACATCAATAGTGGGAAAATTGTTGGAGGCCATAATACGGGATAAGGTAACATGATAACAGTCAACATGGCCTTGTCAAGGGCTGGTCATGTCTGATAAACTTAATTGAGTCCTTTGACAAGGTGACACAGGGAGTTAATGAGGGCAGTGCTGTGGATGTTGTATATTTGGACTTTTGGAAAATATTTGGTACAGTGTCACATGGAAGGTTGGTTAGCAAATTAGAAAGGTTTGGGATTGAAGAGTCCTTGGCAGCATGGATTAGAAGTTGGTTAAAAGATAGGAAACAGAGGGGATTGGAGATAAGTTGAAAGTGGTGTTCCCCAGGAATTGATGTTTGGATCCTTGCTTTTTCTGATTTATGTAAATGATTTGGACATCGGTGTTAAGGGAAAAATTTCTAAATTTGCAGATGATACTAAGCTAGGGAGAACAGTGAATTGTGGTGATGATGCTGAGTGACTTTAGAGAGACATTGAAAAGTCGGCCTAATGGGCAGACAGCTGTCAGATGAAATTCAATGCAGAGAAATGTGAGGTCATGCATTTCAGTAGAAGAAACATGGAGAGACTATACAGACTCAATAGGACAACTTTGAGGGGAGTACAGGTGCAGAAGGATCTTGGGGTTCACAAGCACAATTCTCTAAAAATGGCCTGGCAAGTTGAAACAGTTGTTAAGGATCCTTGGGTTTGTAAATAGAGTCAGACAGTATAAAAGCAAGGAAGTGATGCTACACCTCTACAAACCATTGATCAGCTCATATTTGGAGTATTGCGTTCGGTTCTGGCTATCATATTTAAGGAAGAAGATACCGCAAAGGAGATTTACAAAATGAGACAGGGAACAAGGGATTTTATTTTCCTTGGAGCAAAGAAGATTAAAAGATGACTTTAGTGAGGTGTTCAAAATTATGAAAACTTTTGACAGGATACAGAAGAATATTCTGTTTCCACTAGTTGCTATGTCAGTAACTAGGGGTCACAATATCAAGATTATCAGCAAGACAGCTAGGAGTAAGATGAGGGAAACTGGTCTTTCTTTTGCAAGTATAAAGATAATCATTGATGAACAATTCAATCATAATGGGTTTCACAGCCAATTCCAATCTTGTCCTCATCTGATATCTTCATACATTCACATTTTTGCATTGATTGCCAGATAACAAATTAGGAATGAGAACTTGGAGCAATTTTCCCTCTATTATTGCTGAAGGTCAACTATCATGTATTCACTGCCTTCTAAGATGAAATAATCAGCAATGAACTGAAATTAGAAGTGGAACCTTAACCTCTGCATGGTTGAGTCACACACCATCACTGAAAGAGCTGCATCTGAGTTTTCAAACATAGCAGCTTTCAAGATAGATTTTTTAAAAAAACTCCCCTCACGTACAGACAATAATCTCTCTCTAAATCCCTTGCTATTTTTTTTCCAAGCTGTGGCACTTGTGTACAAAAACAGGAAGCTATGCCTGTTTGACTCTGTCAGCATTTACTATACAAAGCAGTGAATCAATTTGGATTGCAGACAACACATTAGAATCCAAGCCTAATACACAGCATCTGTTGTCTGTGCACCCCTACGGTTGACAGTAGTAATCCTTTTCACTTTGTTTGTTCACAACCATTAGATCATCTCTCTTACATTCCACTGGTTAGGCAGATTATGCTGCTTTATAAAGAATCAAAGCAAAGTCTGTAGTTATCCAACTGGAGTCACTTCACTTTCCTTCCTGATTTCTTATACTGCTAGCCCATGTAGGAATGCAACAAGAGGCCAATTAGAGACTGGGAGAACCGCACCTACAGCAAAAGGGTCAGTTTGACCCAGGTCACTCTTAGGTAGTTTTGACAATAGCATCTGTAAGTGTTTGTGGACAATTCGTATTACCAGCCACATGGATAGAAATGAACCTAAACTAAGGAAGAGAGTCTTTCTGTTTTTAAATGCTCGGGAATTAAATTCAAGACTTACCAACATTGCTCTCAGTTCTTGGAGAGCATTTTCTTCCGGAGGTTCATTCTTATTCAGTCGAATCTAGAAACAAAGAAGTAGACTGTAACCGAGAAGAGCAAAGCACTCAGATGTGAAACTAATTAACTGCATTAATAGCTGCAACTAAGAGTCTCTAAAGGATACTACATTAAATATTCTATTCTACTGCGTTCAGAAAATAGGGATAATGAAAGAAAACAAATAAATGAATTTTGATGAGAAACCTTTTCAGGAACTAAAATATTGGAAGCAAAAATTCAGGGTTAAGTAAATATTTCTGATTTGCTTTTTGGCCTGGCCTTTAAGTTTGACTAATGTGGCACTTATTAAATTAAGTTGTGTCAATTGGTACAAATCTTATTTAGTACAAATTGATGTGCATATTTGGAACCAAAAGCAAAATGAAGGAGCATTGCAAATGTTACATTCCTTCAGAATTTCAAATATTTCATGGATGTATACTGTTCAGAATTTTAAAATGTTAACAATTATGTTCATTAGGAATCTGATGAAATCTTGACATTATTAAAATTAGAATGGTCCAACTGGATTGATGCAGGCAAGGCCAAAGCGATCAAATTCAGTAACAGCATCACACATCTTAGCACTATCACTAAGTCATGATCCTGAAGTACTGAGCTGCTGGAAGATCAGTTGCCATCACTCCTGCTCCCAGGGAGCTGATTACATCAAGCAAAAGTCAGAATGTTTCTGAGCTGAAAGGAATATAAAGAAATATAGTAAGTGGAATAGTGCATTTGTTGACTTGAATCATTGCTACCAGCTATCAATGTATGAATTCTACGCCACATAAATAACTACTGAGGATCTGTCATGAAGTTCAATATCCTGCTACCTGGAGTTTCTGTGCTTTCATATTTGGTGTCATTTCAAAGAAAGCTGCTCAGGTAACTCAATAGTGAGCAAGTACTATTGCACCTGTCTGAAATTTCTATTTTCCTCCTTTACCAAGAAGACAGATGGCTAATTCTCATCTGAAATTATACAAACAGAATGACTATGGTATACTTGCCAGAGGTTACTTAAACTTAGCTATGTATTTTATTCTAACACTGTCTGCTTGGATTGCAGACTTTCTAAAGGAATAGAAATTTTGCTACACGTTGCTACTAACAATGATTTGCAATAACTATTGAGTTACCCTGTTGGTATGATCAACTTTCCGCAGGTGAACACCCTTCTTAATTCTCTCCATCATTTCATCAACTGCTTGTTTTTTCAGATCTTCTAAAGGTTTTCCTGGAGATAAAAAAGAAACAACTTATGTATTTGAAATATAACATTCAGAAAACAAGTTTCTCACTGTACAATAAAAAACAGAATATTTCAGAAATACTTGGCATTCCCAGAGGAAAGAAAACTTGCATCTGAATTTGTAGAGTTAAAACAATTCCAAGCTTCACAAATCCGTTCTGGGAGAAGAAACTGCCCTGCAAACTCAGATGTTCATTCTGGAGGACAGGTTTCATAGCAATCTGCATGCTGATGCCAAAAACAGTGCAGATGTTGCCAGGTGTGAAGGCTGCCAGATGTGAAGCAGGCTGGATGGAAGGTAGAATGACACGCTGGTACTTTGTCAAAATACTAAACTAAACAATATGATGAAGACCACCCTCCAGGTCTCTTCTTTCCCATGCTAATCAATGCCACCTCATTCATCCCACTCAATCAATCATAGCTCATACCCTCCATGCCAACCTATGCCATTCCACCTACACTTGATGGTCCTCTTCCTCCACAGCAACCTATGTACCAGCTGCAAGGCAAGTCATGCTCTCCATGTTAAACTATTCCTTTAACTCATTTCTAAGGTTTCTTAGTACTTCATACCAAGATATGACCCTTTGCTTACTCCCAATAACCCGCGTAGCCTCTATGCCATCGTATGTCCCTCCAACCACACCTTTTAAGGCTGTATGTTAACTTACTGTCAATTCATGCTAACCCATTCCCCTTAACTTACCATCAGTTTTACTTGTACCTACAAATGCCAACTCATAGAGTCGACATAATTGGCAGACTTCAAGACCCATACAGAGATTAAAGAGTCCTTAATTTTCCAGTGATAAATTTACTATTCCAAATAAAACTTTAATTGATGAAAATAAAATTGTCACTACATTTAACTTACTTTAGTCCTTTATAAAAACAAACATTAGGACTTGTGGTCATATTTCAAATTATAAGCAAAAAAACAAAGAACTGCAATGCTGGAAATCTGAAACAAAAACAGTGGGTTTGGAAGGTGCTGCCTCTAACGAGCTTTGGTGAATTTCTGCAATGCATCTTGGAGATGGTACACACTGCTGCTGAGTGTTGGTGGTGGAGGGAGTGAATGCTTGTGGATGTGGTGCCAATCACGCGGGCTGCTTTGTCTTGGATGGTGTCAAACTTCTGGAGTGTTGTTGGAGCTGCACCCATCCAGGCAAGTGGAGAGCATTCCATCACACTCCCAACTTGTGCCTTGCGGACAGGTTTTTGGGATGTCAAGAGGTGAGTTACTCACGGTGTTAAGGCTCAGTGTACTGATAATTCGGCTCAGTATTCCATAAGCCATCACAAACAAGTAAATACCCAATTAAAGCTCCACGATTCAGGACAAAAGTAACTCACACCAGCTTGCATCATTAACAGGAAAATAACTATTTATTGTAGACAAACTTATCATTTAACAAAAGGTGAGCAAAAATGGATTACTCTTTACTACTGTGCAACTTAAGTGTGGACTAGTTGGATCAAAGGGTCTGTTTCCATGCTGTATGATTCCATACCCTAAAAACTGCAAACACACATATACACATTCATTCATGAATAGGACAGACAAAAACAAAGGGTTTGACACAAATATTATGGGTGAACAATGTAGACTAGAAAAATAACTTCAAATGACGTGTCCAGTCCACAGGGTGGAATGAATTGTTTCTCACAGCTTTTAATTTATTTTCTTTAATGGTTGTGATATGATTTGTCTGCAGAGTGATGGTCAATTTTTGATTCAACAATTGATTGGGTAAACTTAGATTTTTTCTTGGATTAGACCTTCTCCTTTTTAGAGTTTTCAAGTTTTGACTTTTCTCATTCACAGAGAGAGATACTTCTTGCTTGTAGGCTTCTGGATGTCTCGGAATGCACTGCACTCACAGGTTTGGTGCAAACTGCAGCTGGATCAATCTGATGGCTGTTGTTGTGCATTTTATCCTTAATTCCAAGATTCCTGATGCCATACTGTCTCATAAGGTATCCATCTCACTGCAAAATGTAACATAACCTTGAGCGGCTAAAACGTATACCACATAATCCCACTTGATCTTCAAGTTGCAAAACATCTGTGGCACTTTTATCTATACAGGTCTAATATCCATTTTCCAGTTTATTTTCCAGAAAGAAAAACAAAATGTGGTAAATTACATGGGTCTTAGATGATTTTCAGTTAGTGCGCTTCCATAGCCCGGTCGCTGAAACAGCTGGCTAAATTGAGGATTTCACTATCCTGCTCAGTACCCTTGCTCCTGGGGATCGCTTATCCTGCTGTGTAGCAACCACATGGTTAACGATGATGGTGACGTACACGCCCAGAGGTGGAGGGTGTACAAGGCTACCACATACTTTTTCTTGCAGTGGGCCCTCATTAATTTTGAAGCAACTCTCCAGATGGACCAAGTACTTGGGAGCACCCACATTGTACCTCCATTTGAACCAGTGCTTTTGGAAGCATCGGTTATGGAGCAGGTTATCAGTGACTTTGGTCATTATTCTCATGAACATTAAAATTTAATCTTCCCCTCTGTAATATTAGCAGGAAATTTGGTTAATGAGTAAGAGTAATATAAACCTAGAGGATTATTCACATAAAGGTGTTTTTAACTGCTTTTACAGTCTACTAACACCAACTAATTTTCAAGTGAGGATTAATAACACCTTTTATCAATAGTCCCTGTGTGCTGTCCATTGCTGGGCTGTGATTCCCTTTATTGCATGAATTTTTTTCTTGGAATCACTCTGGAAAGTCAGTCTGCCCTTCTGTTATAGTAAGAACCTCATATTGTTCTGGGTGAGTGTGTGTATGTACATGTGCTTGTTTGTTAACTAACACAAGGTTCCTGTGTTAAGAAGGTTAGGTTGGGTGGTGGGGGGTGCTGGAAACAGTTAAAGGTTTACCTAGAGCACTTTATAGATTTTCAGCAGCTGTGGTAGCTACAAGTATTTCTATGTCTGGCCCATTTACATTGCTGGTCAATGGTAAACCCCTCCCAGGATGTCAGTACTAGAGATTTTACAATGGTGGCGTATTGGATTTCAGGGAAACATTCTCCACTGTTGGAGATTGTTATTTCTTGACTCTTATGCACCCTGGACTTGACTGACTTACCCTATCCCCTCACCTACTTGCCATCCTACCTACTAGAAGCTCTCCCAACAATTCCTCACACCCCTGTCCTGCACACCCACACATCGAGAGAGAGAGAAAGAGACAGAGAGATAAACACACGTTTGAACTACTTGGCTGCTTATCAGCTGAAGCCTGGATGTTGTTCAGGACTTGTTACCCATCAGCACAAAGTGTTCCAGCATCATTGAGGCTTTCTCAGAATGAAAGAACATCTCTTGATAAAAATATGGGGCAAGGAAACAGATCGCAGAAGTGCGCTAACCAATTCAGACATTAAATGTCAATTGAACTTCAATTTTCAGTTCTGACTTATATTTTAAATCAATATTTAACTGCTTTTTTTTAAAAAAGCACGAGTAAAATGCATTCGATACTATTGCTTACCTGCTTCTTCAGATAGAGCCTTTCCAACCCCAGACAAATTGGATGCTTTCTGTCTTTGACAAATGATCATCATAAGATTTCTGTTGAAATATAAACATGTTTTCTTAAAGCCTCCATTTGGATGTCAACATTCAGGCCCAACTCCACTGATAGGAAGATATTTATTGTAGTGGCCTAGAATAGCAATGTGCAACAGGAAGTTTGAAAGTCCCTACCCCTTCACCACCTGATTGCTTACCCACCTACCACACTGCATCCAACTGATTCACCCTGTCCATTCATTCACCTATCACCCAGCCCACTGAACCTCCCCCAACATCTTCAGACTGCCCTCTCCTAGCCCAACACAATTGCTGAACCCCACCACACCCCAACACTCTCAGGACTAAGATAACCCTAAAACAATTCCTCGATAACAAATTCACCCCATCCTCATGCCCACCTGCCACATTAACTGACACTACCGCATCCAGGTGCCACCCTATCCCTTTACTCACACACCTCACCCCCCCCACCTTCCTCACGCTGCACTCAATAATTAACAATCATTAATTAGTGTAGAATGCTAAACAAGGAAAACTAACTACTCTTGGAATTATTAAGTAACAGTCATGAAATATTTAAAAGAAATTTTAAAATGCTCAATCGCAATAACACTAAATTAAAAAAAACAGAAAGGAAAGCTAAGTGATATCTGAAAAATTCTGCCGAACTTTAATTCAACCTACTGTGCAGTTTACAACTTACTGAGCAATTTAACCTGTGTGCTATGTGCTATTGCTCTGAGGGGGAATTGCCAAATCCTGCAGAATCATATGGGGACAAGGGTTTGCTTCCTCTGACCTGCATCAAAACTTACCCACTTTTCCACAATAGAAGCTTCAGGGAGCGGCCAACATTGGAATGCTGGCCATAAAAAGCACGGGCAGTTTAGTGAGTTTTTACGCCAAACAGAAGGTCTAGACCATGTCACTCTACAAAGGTGAAATAGCCAGCTTGTTAATTTTGTTCACCAATACTAAACTGATCATCACACTAATAATTCCGGCTAATTCTGTCATTATAGACTCCAGATGAGAATCCACAGTCGTAGTGAGTGCAGTGGAGAAAAGCCAAAAACATGGCAGGCAATTTCTCATCAGACATTTCCTGAGAGAATGGTCCCTGTGTGAAAGCAGATCAATCCCATGTGCTGAATGGCTGCAAAATCCCATGGCTTCCTCTTATCCAATGTTACATCAAAAATATAAAACTTGTAACGTCATATTTATCTAATTATTTAAGGCATTTTTCTTATGGTAAGATTTTGTAATATAAAATTGCATGACAAGCCCAAGAAAATGTCTTGCTCTGATGCTAGCACCAGTCATCTAAGAATTAATTTTATGAAGGCTTCCCGGGACCAGGAATATGGCTGCCTCCCATCAGCAGCACTGAAAAGGAAATTATACAGTAGTCAGAAAATGGTGAGAAAATAAATCTGAACTTTCAAAATGTGGTGCCAGCAGTCAATGCCCATTGAACTTTCAATATGCACAGCCTTCAAACTTCTACAGCTGGAAGTTATTGTCAGTGTACTATCTGAAGAATGTCAAGTCGTAACCATCAAAACAGCACACATCTCTAACTGCTAAATGTAATGTAACAAATTGTCTTGAACAAATGGTTTTCTATATGCTATTACATAAAAGATGTACATCAGGCCTTTAAATTAGCTTGTTGCTACAGGCATACCAGGCACACTCCAATCTGCATTCAATCAACAAAGGTTTTTGAATGGAAAGGTAAACTTCAGCACTGTTAACCTTATAGATTCCTAACTCTCACTACGGAAGGGTTGTGGGTGAGTTGAAACTTATACAAGACTGAGACATGGCACTACCTTCATTGCAACTTTGTACCTCTCCTTCCTTTATCAAAATCTCTCACAGCATTAGATATTGCATTAAGTGCCTCTTAGCAGTGAGTTTGACTGAAGGAAAAGTAATGGTGCAGCCAAAGATATCCCATGGTATCCATGGAGTGGTGTCTTCACTGCCCAACAGGTTAAATCATTCATACCAGCCAGAAGTAGTTTAGGATGGCAAGACTTTTTATAGTGATTGTGATGAAACTTCACATCCTCTTGAGTTCCTTTGATTTTTTTTTCCTTTATTCATTCGGGGGATGTGGCCTTGACTTTATTGCCCATCAGTAATTGTCCTTGAAAATAGAATGATGAGCTGTCTACTTAAACTACTGAAATCCATTTGGTGTAGAAACACCCATAATGCTGTTTCAGTGGAAGTGCTAGTATTTTGACTGAATTAAAATCTTAAAATAACATAAAAGATACACTTTTTAATGAAATAACTGTACTGTACAATGTTAATATGTGAAAAATAGTAAACGGAATGCTCAAATATTTAATGTACTATTAAACAGTTGCCAAATTTTGCTGAAAGACACCATTCTATTTGGAAATTCTAGCACACGGTAAACAGCCTATTTCACATATCTCTAAAATTGATTTTAGAAAAAATATACTTTTATTACTTAAGTGGACTTGAAGTGGGTGATGGCACTGGAGGAGGTGGAGGAGGAGGAGGCGATGATGGCATTGGCTTTTCTGCTTGTTGGATCTGCTTCTGTAGCTCATCAACTGTAACAGAGGTACCAGAGCTTTAAATCCAGTAGTCTGAGTATTTGCAAGGCATAGAAAATTGTCATGACATTCTGTATTTGTAAAAAGATGCTTTGCAGAGGTGAATATTTCCTGCAGTTTCCAAAATGATTATCTTCTGTTCCACTCAGCTCACCATCCTCCACCATACTTGCTGCCTTACCAGATCACTTTCTTCCAACCACTCAACATTGCCTGCACCATTCAATCTCTGCCCTTGCTGAAACCTTACCTCACTTTTTAACCACTAAAAAATTGATTTCTTACTACTTTCCAAATTAATATTTCTGCTTCAAGCATCAGTTCATCCATAATGTTGCAGACCACATCCTTTCTTGCACCAATTCCCATGGTCCAGTAACCCCTGTGGTGTTCTAGCTTTGCTGTTTGCTTGTGCTCCAGTCATTCAATTTCAAAATTCTTGCTCTTATTTTCAAAATACTATTTATCTCACTGTTCATGAGAGAACTAGTCCCATTCTCTGTTCTCACATACTCTAAAACATTTAAGTGAGTCTTGTTTCCTCCAAATTCACAACTGAAGCCCATCTATTCATCTATTATGGTCTAGCCGCTGCCATGAGCTGTTTTCTTCTAATTTCTCACCTCTCTCCTGCTTTCAAAGTAATTAATTTTGTTTATACTTTATGTTCCCTTTTCTAGCTTCTCTGGAAATTGTTTCCCTTTCCTCATACCTACTGAATCCTCTCCTATTACAAAAAGCTCCAAGACGTTTATGTGAGGAAAACAATATAAATGCAAATTGTTACACAATGTGTAAAAGCAGATAAATAATCTTTCATGCAAAACATATAGTATCATTGTGTCATGGACTATAACTCACAACATTAGAGGAACTGGAAAAATGTGAAGTTTTGATGCTAGCACAACTCCAGTTCAGAACCACCTTCAAAAGTTCAAAGTTCCACAAGCATTGTTACTGAGAGCAGTCAACAAATGTTCTCAAAGTATTTTGCACATCATTTTCAGAATTCAAACTGGGTCTGTGCCATTTGGCACAAAGTTAAAAATAAAAGCAGCAAATGTTGGAAATAATCAACAGGTCAAGCAACATATGTGGTCATTGACCTGAAATGTTAACTCTGCTTTTCTCTCCACAGATACTGCCCAGGCTTGCTGAGTACTTCCAGCATTCTTGGTTTTTACTTTGCTTGGATTAGGACCAAGTTAAAATACATTATTATAAATCTACATTTCATTACAGTGCCAAATACTTACTGGTGTGTTTCAGATCTTTTACTTGCTGGGAATAATTTTGGCATTTTACTTCAAGTTCTTCTTTGTCTTCTTTGAGAAGCTCAAGCTGTTTCATCAGTGACTTTACTTCCTTCTTTAGGGTGCAATCATCTAATTTTTCCTGCATCTCATTTAGCTGACAGCATAGGGAAGAAAGGATTACATTGACGATGTACATCTGCTCAATGATCCCTGTGTCTGTTAAATGTCTTTATGTTATTTACATATGAAACAGAAGCAGAAGTGAAGTCGAAGCATTTGGTCCCTCAAGCCCAGTCCACAATGGAATAATATCATAGCTGATCCGCTTATGTTTCAATTTCCACTTTCCCACCTATCCTCAATCGCTTTTGATTTCCTTGCCTAACAAGAATCAATCAAATTCTGCCTTAAAAGTATTTAAATGACCCTCCCTCCACTCCCAGGGATAGAGAGTGCCAAAGTCGCACACTGCTCTAATGGAAAAATATGTTTCCCGATCTCTGTTATAAAAGAGTGGCTGCTAATTTTAAAACAATGCCTCCGAGTGTTATGATTGAAAGTGATGTTTTTACTGGACAAATCATATCCCAGTTTGAAATCTGTCTTGATTTATCAGAATTTTTTTTTCGTTTTAATGAGGTGGTTTTTCACTGAAACACAAACATGCAGTGCCACGGATTCAGGTTTAACAATAAGGTCAAGTTTATTATGCAAAGTAATGAAAATAAAATAAACCAAACTATTTACATCGAACACAAATTTAAAGATATTGAAACACAGTAAAAGTGTATCCCATTTAATCCCAAAAGCCCCTTTAATTCAAAAATGCCAGAAGTACTCATACCAGAGTGAATTTCCTTTTCCATCTCCCCATAGGGTTTAACAGTGATTTCAAAGAAGGACAGTTCCTTCTTCGAACAACTGAGCATAAACTTTCTCAGCTTCAAACAAGCCCTTCAGGTTGTAACTAGATATTTCTGGTTTAGAGCTTTTGCTAGCCTCTTTTTTAACAATTCTAAGCTGGAGCAACTACTTTTTACATCCAGTTTAAGTCAAATATCCCACAGAATTGTCTAAAACCAATACTAAAAGGCTTTTTTCCAAGCCATGAGTGTTTTCCCTAAGCCCAAAAGCAAATCCAGCATCTTCCATCTGAAAGCATTGTGCACTTCACTGTTTACTTTGCCCACTTGTAAACTCAGCCAATGTAAACAAAAACCCATTGCCCTCTGGAAAGACTTTCTCTCAAATTGCATTTTAAAATAAATCATCATGGATAAAGAAATACTTTTATTCATTCATGGGAAGTGGACATTGCTGGCTATGCTCATCCCTAAGCACCCAGATGGCATTTAAGAGTGAACCACATTGCTGTGCATCTGGAGTCACATTAGTGCCTTTTATACATTTGGAAATTTTTACATGGTCATGATTAGGCTAGCTGTTTTATTCCCTTTTTTAAATTGAATTAAAACTCACCATCTGCCATGGTATGATTCAATGTCCCTAGAACATCAGCCTGGGGTTCTGGATTACTGGTCCAGTTACATAACCACTATGCTACCATCTTTCTCTAATCCCTCACAATAGTTAATTGTCAAAAGCCCTTTAGACCCATAGAAAACCCATATGCCACTAGTTCAAATTCAAAAAATCCAAACTCAAAAATAAATATTAAAATATATGTAAATAATATGCCTTACATCACACTAGTTCCAGACAGACCCACAAGAGGAAATGTCATTTTCACATCCACCTTGTCAAGACCATTCAGGATCTTATACATTTCAATCAAGTCACACTTCACTCTTCCAAACTCCAGTGGAAACAAGCCCAGCCTGTTAAACCTATGTAACACAACACACTCATTTCACGTATCAATCCAGTAAACCTCGTCTGAACTAACTTATCGTGACTCATTCACTAGAACACCTAAATCCCTCCGCATCTCAGAATTCCAGTTGTTTCTATTTAAGTAATACTCTGTGTTTTCATTTTTTCTGCCAAACCGAATAACTCACATCTTCAAATGACATGCAGATTGGGTGACCACTTCGCAGACCACCTACGTTCCATCCATAGAGATGACCCTGAGCTTCTAGTTACCTGCCACTTCAACACACCTCCATGTTTCCTAACTGACATTTCTGTCTCAAGCTTGTTGCATTGTTTTAGCAAGGCTTAGCACAAGCTGGAAGGACACATTTCATTTTAACATCTCATTTTCCACTTGGGGACCCTGCAGCCTCCAGGACTCAATACCGAGTTCAATAATTTTACAGTCTGAACACCTCATTCCATGTCCATTACCCACCCCCTGTGTTGACATTGGCTGCTTTCAGCATGGCCAATCCATTTTCATGCACTCATTGTCCCCATTATCAGCTTTATAGCTTTTATTCTTCCCTTGCTTATCATCGACAATCCTGTTGTCTACTTAATTTTTTTTTCCTCTTGCTCATTCTAGGCTCTTTCTTCACCTATCCTCTTGCTCCTTTCCCCCCATCCCCAGAAATCATGATTAATACAATTTTATTTCCTAAGTGCTATCAGTTCTGAAGAAGGGTCCATTGAACTCGAAAGATTAACTTTGTTTTCTCTCCATAGGCGCTGCCAGAGCTGCTGAGTTTTTCCAGCAACTTCTGTTGTTGCTCCAACACAATCATACCTTTTTAAATTCATCCTGTGACCCTCATCTTGCTATATTGTCCATAGTAACACTTCATTCAACACACTATCGTTCATCACTTGTACTTGCCTAACCATACCAACTTAGTTATAGGTGCTAAACTGGCTAATTTTATTGAACTAAGAGTTCCATTTCACCATCTTACACAAACGAATCTAAACAAAATACCAAGGGCTGTATCACCACCTACAAATGAGCATAGGGACACTCTTCCAAGCAAGAGATAAAATAGTGTATTTAGCTCGGACAGGTTAAAATGTATCAATTGAAGCTTAAGGCCTAGCTTCATTTCTATTTCCATTTTGTTTATCATGGAGACTTTTAAAGACATTTGTACTCACACTATACATGGGGCCTCAGTTGACGGGCCATTATGAATAAAATTATTCCTGTATTTAATTGTCGGTTTTCTCTATATTTATAAATAATAGTTTCACAGACTAATGGCATTATTCCACACCACCATTTTCAACTAGGCTTACAGGATAACGAGGAAGGATTATATGAAGAGCAATTTCACATATAATGCCCGACGATAAGTAAGATTAAGGCATTACATGAGAAATTGTTCTTTATATAACCCTCCCACGTACAAAGCCAGTTGAAAATGCTGTTGTGGAATAATGCCATTGGTTCTTTTTTTATAACGTGTACTTTTATTTTATGACAGGCATGATATACCATAAGAATAAAAATAACCAAGCAACGTCTCAAAAATTTGGCATAATTTCTTCAGAAATATTTTTAAAAATCTGAAAGAGATATTCCAGCTGAGAAGAAACAAAATATGATTACAAAGAGGAAGAATAATGACAGCTACATTCAACATAAATTCTCAAAGAGTGGAAATGATATGGTACCTATTCCATTAGGTGTCATATCTGTATAAACAATGATTCATTCTGGATGATTTGAAGAGGTGCTTGCAGCAAAGACATGCTTACTTCAAGTATATTGAGCACTATTGAGTACTTTGATGACTAAGTCAGCAATGAAAACTCAACAAAATGTGGAAGAAAAGGACAGTTATTTCTTAATTGCTTCTATAATGAAGTTGTTCTTAATAGCTTTTTCACTATTCTGTCTTTATTTTAAGCCAGAGGGTATCCAAAGGCACAGACTTAAATAATTATTTCAATGTCGGATCATTTGCTAATTCATTCAGACTATCATTTTCTGAATTTGAAAATGACAGCTTATTTGTTCGACTGCCAGAGTAATGAACAGATCCATTGCCCTCAAAAATTCAATCCGAGGATTATCTTCAGATGGAAAATTTTCCTTAAAATTTGACCTCAAGCTTATCCAGATGTTCTGAAACAAGCTTAGCAATATTGTGGATGTCTCATCTAGTGTTCCCTGCTATCCCTAGCAACATCATTACAAGATTTAACACCCTTAAAAATTTCCATTAATTGGTAATATAATGCTAAAACGTATAAGACCATAAGACCATAAGACATAGAGCAGAAATTAGGCCATTTGGCCCATCGAGTCTGCTCCGCCATTCAATCATGGCTGATAAGTTCCTCAACCCCATTCTCCTGCTTTCTCCCCATAACCCTTGATCCCTTTGATAATCAAGAACCTATCTATCTCAGTTTTAAATATACTCAATGACCTGGCCTCCACAGCCTTCCGTGGTAGAGAATTCCATAGATTCACCACTCTCTGGCTGAAGAAGTTTCTCCTTATCTCTGTTCTAAAAGGTCTTCCCTTTACTCTAACGCTGTGCCCTCAGGTCCTAGACTCTCCTACCAATGGAAGCATCTTCCCAACATCCACTTTGTCCAGGCCAGTCAGTATTTTGAAAGTTTCAATTAGATCCCCCCTCATCCTTCTAAACTCCATTGAGTATAGACTCAGAGTCCTCAAACGCTCCTCATATGTTAAGCTTTTCATTCCTGGGACCATTCTCGTGAACCTCCTCTGAACCCACTCCAGGGCCAGTACATCCTTCCTGAGTTATGGGGCCCAAGACTGCACGCGATACTCCAAATGTGGCCTGACAAGCATCTTATAAAGCCTCAATAGTGCATCCCTGCTTTTATATTAAGTCCTCTCAAAATATATGCCAACATTGCATTTGCCTTCCTGACTACTGACTCAACCTGCAAGTTTACCTTGAGAGAATCCTGGACTAGAACTCCCAAGTCTCTTCGCACTTCAGACTTCTGAATTTTCTCCCCATTTAGAAAATAGTCCATGCTTTTGTTCTTCTTACCAAAGTGCATGACCTCACACTTTCCCACACTGTACTCCGTCTGTCACTTCTTTGCCCATTCTCCCAACCTGTCCAAATCCTTCTGCAGCCTCGCCACCTCCTCAATACTACCTATCCCTCCATCTGTCTTTGTATCGTCTGCAAACTTAGCCAGAACGCCAGTATGTACGTGTAAAAATGCACTCCCTGGAAAAACTGTTCCATTATGTTTGGACTAGGGATTTTGACAAAGTGACAGAGTCATAGAGCTGTACAGCATGGAAACAGACCCTTCAGTCCAACTTGTCCATACTGACCAGATATCCTAAATTAATCTAATCCCAATTGTCACCATTTGGCCCAAATCCTTCTAATCCCTTCCTATTATATACCCATCCAAATGCCTTTTAAATGTTGTTATTGTACCAGACTCCACCACTTTTTTGGCAGTTCATACCATACATGCACCACGCTCTGCATGAAAAAGTTTCCCCTAGGTCCTTTTTCAAATCTTTCAGCTCTCACCTTAAACCTATGTCCTCTAGTTTTGGACTCCCCACCCTAGTCTATTCACCCTATCCATGCTCCTTGTGATTTTATGAACCTTCATAAGGTCATCCCTCAGCCTCCAATGCTCCGGGGAAAACAGCCCCAGCCGATTCAGCCTCTCCCTAAAGCTCAAACTCTCCAATCCTGGCAACATCCTTGTAAATCTTTCCTGAACCCTTTCAAGTTTAACAACATCTTTCCCATAGCAGGGAGACCAGAATTGTATGCAGTATTCCAAAAATGACCTAACCAATGTCCTGTACAGCCACAACATGACATCCAACTCCTATACTCAATGCATTGACCAATGAAGGCAAGTGTATCAAATGACTTCTTTACTACCCTGTCTACCTCTGACTCCACTTTCAAGGAATTATGAATGACCATCCCGAGGTCTCTTTGTTCGGCAACACTCCCCAGGACCCTACCATTTGCTGCATAAGTCCAGCCATGATTTGTCTTACCAAAATACAACACCTCACATTTATCTAAATTAAACACCATCTGCCACTGAAGGTCCTGTTGCACTCTGAGATAACCTTCTTCATTGTCCACGACACTATCAATTTTGGTGTCATCTGCAAACTTACTATACACTCCTCCTAAACTCACATCCAAATCATTTATGTACATGACTAAAAGCAGTGGACCCAACTCCGACATACGGCACATAATTTGAAAATAATTGCTGGAGAAAGCCAATCCACAATTTACATACTATTCTTCTTTAAGTACCCACAGAAATTCTTGCTATCTGTTGCTATCTAATATTCCTAGCTAGCTTCCTCTCATATTCTAATTTCTTCCTTCTGATTAACCCTTTGGTCATTCTTTGATTTGCCACTCATCCTTGTGCAATTATATGCATTTTTCTTATATTTTATGCTTCCACTAACCTCCTTAGTTAACCACAGATGGTGGGTCCTCCCTTCAGAATTTTTCTTTGTAAAAGGAATATACTTTTTCAACTATTCTGAAATATCCGCTTAAATGTCTCTCTCTGTTGACCTAACCCCTAAGCTAGTATGCTAGTTCACTTCAGCTATCTTAGCTTTCATGCCCGCAAAGCTGCCCTTATTTAGGTTTAAAATACTAGTCTTACACTCAATCTTCTCCTTTTCAAAGTGGATGCAAAATTCAATCATATTGTGGTTGCTCCTACCTAGGAGTATCTTTGCTCTGAGATGATTAATTAATCCTGTCATATTACACATTACCAAATCTAATATAACCTGCTCTCTGGTCAGTTTCGGAATGTGCTGGTCTAAGAGACTCTCTCAAAGTGTTCTTCATCTAGGCTGCTTCTGCCGACCTAATTTTTCCAACTTATATGAAAATTACATCGCCAATAGCTATTGCTATCCCTTTGTCACAAGTACCCAATACTTCTTCATATATACTCTTTCCAACATAATGTATAGAACCAGTGTCTATTCCTACTAGTGACTCAATGTCATAGTAGTCCTCATGTCAACCCAATCCAATGTTGATATCCCAAACCAAGGTTATGTCTAACTATTGCACAAATGCCGTCTTTAATTAACATTGTTATCCTTTCACCTTTACCTAGCTTCTATTCTTCACGAATGTCATGTATCCTTCAGATCAGGACCCGATTCTTGTCAACCTGCAGCTGTATTACTTACTTCAATATGTACTATAAATTTGTTAATTTTGTTATAAATACTACTTGCATTCAAAATCCATCAGAACACTTAGTTTTGTCTTTTCATTATCTTTGTACCATTTCGCCTTGATTGCTGGTGTAGTCCTAAGTTTTTTGTCTGTCTCTTCCTGTTATTCCCCGACCCTCATTTTCCATATTACTATTTGCCTCTCTTACCTTGACTCTATCTTTGATATACCATATCTTTCCACATTTGATCCTTTGCCCCCAATGTTTAAAGCCCTGTCTACTTCCCTAGTTATGTGATTTGCAAGAATACTGGCCCCTGCACTGTTCAAGTGTAAATAAGGGATTGCCCATTTAAGATAATGACAAGGAAACATATTTTGTCTGAGAGGATTGAGAGTCTTTGAATTTCCTCTCTTCAAAAGGCAGTGGATGCAGAATGTTTAAATATTTTTAAGGGAAAGATAAATAAATTCTTTATTACCAAGGGGATGAAAGATTATTGAGAGTATGCAGGAATGTAGAGCTTGGGTTAAAATCAGATCAGCCATGATCTCATTGAACGGTGGAGCAGGCTTGCAGGGCCGAGTGGTCTACTCTTGTTCCTTGTTCGAATGTTTGTATGTGTAGACTTTACCATTGGTACAGGCCCACTTTACACAGTCTTCATGCCAGTGGCCAATGAAACATAAGCCACATCCCCCACACAAATCTCTGAGCCATGTATTCATCTTTCCAGTTTTCCTTATCCTATGCCAATTTGCACATGGCTCAGATGATAATTCAGAGAGTGTAACCTTTGAGGTTCTGCTTTATAATTTATTGCCCAGCTCCTCACACTGTCTGACAGATCTTCTTTACTAGTGTGTCCTGTGTCCTTGGTACCTATATAGACTAAAACTATTGCATATTCAGCCCTCATATTGCAAGTTTTGCTCGATTCCTGAGCAAACGTACTGGTACTGGGCAGGCAACATAGCTGTCTGAACTCTTGCTCTTTGCTAAAAAGAATTGTATCGATGCATCTCATGATAATATTACCTAATACCACAACATTCTTTGTTGCACCCCCTACTTGAATAGCTCGCAATACCATGATGTCATGGTCAGTATTTTCATTCACTCTGCAGCACCGCTCTCATCCAAACAATCTGAGAAAACCTCAAACCTACTGGACAATTGTGGAGGATGACAGTCCTGCTGTCTAGGTCCCCTTACCTACCTCACTCACGATCACATCACCCTGTCCCTGTCCCTGACCATTCACCAAATCAGAAGTTCCATTAGTAAGTTGTGTTATGCCCAGCTTCTTCAATGAAGCTTGATAACTTTCTCCTTCCCTGACGCATCACAACATCTAAGGTTCAGCCTCCAGTTCAAACTCTGAGCTGAAACCACTCAAACTTTGAACACTTGCCGCAGATGTATTTGCGCTGGATCACAATGGCATTCAGGAACTCCCATATGCTGCAGCCTTGATCTATCCTGCTGTCATTAATGAGTTTTAATTATTTGATGATATTATTCAACTATGTATGTTGAATTTTATGTTTTGTCAACTTTATCATCAATTTTTATACTACGTTAAAACTTAAAATTCGCAAAGACGTTAATCACTTAACACAGACTCATAAAACAGCTAGTTCCTTTCTCTGTAGTACAAGAACAAACTCCAATAAATCTAGCTCTGAATGTGACTGCTTGGTTTAGGTTCTTTTTCTCATCTGCTATTCTAGTTGATGCTGACTGCCTGCCACGGGTGTCATAACTTCAATTGCTCCTTGAAGTGATGTTGACTTGTCCTTACCAAATCGAAAAGATTTTATTAGCCACACCCAGGATGAGACAGAAAATGCTAGAAGCTGCAAAGCAAAGTCTCCAAGATGAGATCCAGGCATACAGGCCTGTGTGAGGACAACTCAAAGGGTGTTATCAGATCTTCAAGTCCAGCACTAAGCAAAATTCGGAAACAGCTTTAATCTCGAAGCTGATGACAACTAAACTGTTTATTCTCACCAGTCACATTTGACTCGATTGAAAGAATTAATTTCAGTTGCGGATTCTGTTAGAAAGCAGTGATTTGTTTTGCAAAAAAAAAGTCTCATTTTGTTCATGAATTTTGGATGAAATTTTAAGAGTTTTGTCCTGCAGCTCCACTCATTTGATGAAAACATTCAAGTAATGCTGACTGCCTGTCTCAAGCTATTTTTCTTAACTGCTCCTCTAGGTGATGATAACTGAGATCCTTTGGTTGCTGGCTATTCTGAGTAAAGCTGTCTGCCTATTGAAGGATCCCCATCTCACCTATCGCTCTCTGACATTGTCATCTATGATTTCGCATTAATAAGACACAAAATTTTACTACATTCTGTTTTCCAGTCATACAGTTTATTATACCCTCATATTTTTACATTTCTTATTAGTAAGTTAAACATTAATAAATTAACTAGTCAATATATATAAAACTGTGTGTGGATCAAAGGAATGTCCTCTAACAGAAGATCACAATAAAATTTGTGATGCTGAAAGATTATTACGGGTGCTGTCACTGAGGTTTAGACAAATGGTCCAAAGGTGGTTTCAAATTCTACCATGGCAATTTCAGAAATTGACATCAGTCCTCTCTTTTAATTGGAACATAAAACATTGTCAACAATCAAAGTGCCAATAAAACTATAAAGTGATTATATTAGTTATATATAAACTTTAAACTATAGTCTAAAGACTATATCGACTTTAAGACATTGAATGTAAGACTCAATGAACTGAAGGGCCTTTTTCTGTGTTGTTCACATCTATATTAAAAGACCATAGAGTAACAATATTAGATTGTCTTAAACGCATTTAGTCCATAAATATACTTTAGAGAAGGAAAGATATCAGCCTATGTGTGGTTTAGCCGATATATCATTCCATTCTCACACAAACATGTTGACTCTTAATTGATCTCTGATGTGGTTTAGTAAGGAATGTTTTCACCTTTGTTCAGTAAACTAGGAATCAACAACAAGACAGTGACAGATATTTTTACCAGGGCTAATTTCACTAGTGCATCTTACCTTTTTCTCATGCAGAATTCTCTCCTCCTCTATAGTCTCTGTGACAACAGCAAGGTCATCAAGCGCTTTCATCAACTGCTCGTTAGGCACCATCTTTTCAATAAGAATTTGACTTTGCCTTTTAAGTTTTTTTTGTTCCAAAAGCATCTGCAGTGAAGGCAAATCATTTTAAACTGCAATCACATTTCTGTCCAAATTTATTATTTAGTTTGCAGCATGACCACTGGTGATCTTTTCCCCATGTTATTAATCTTAGGAAATTTGTTCCAGCCTGTTTGATGAGTCATTTTCATCATCAAAGCTAATGCTAGGAATGGTACCAATCACTCTGCAAGGCTCATAGCCTCACATTAATGCTATGCTCATGATTAACTAATTTCTTATCAAACTGCATCATTTATGCTTTAGCTTATGGCTTTCCAGCCAAAACTCTTTTTACCATCAACTTCGACGTTCCTAAAGAGTACATTCTCTCCGCACACCTCTTTTCAATGATTTCCTCCAATCGTACATCCATGTTTGTTTGCATATGTTATATCACATGCACAAAGTTCATGTCCTTCAGGTCTCTCTCAGCCCAATGACTAAATCACTGCCTTTTCATTTCCCCTATACCATTGAATGGGATATTCAAAGTACAGTTTTAAATTTTCATTTTTTTTTTGTCTCTTTCAGATACAGCCATAATGACAAATATGTTGAATGGCTCCAACCACCTACAAATCAAATTCATTTTCTGACAAAGCAGCTAACCTGTGTCATTGCTTGTTCCGTCATCCAATTTAACTAAAATTTTAATTTAATGAGACAACTGTCCTTGTTACGCTTTACAATTGTCCCCAGCTGCACATTGTGGTGCTACAGAAAAATGAATCTCAAAACTAAAAAAGGCATATGACCATTCAGTGACATGGAAATTACTGGTTAGCTTAAGTGAACAGTGTATATGTAGACTTTAAGGTGGCTGATGCATTCTGAAAGTCAGGCTCACAAAAGCCTGGCAAATTGCTAGATTTTACACTTTTATTTCTTGCTTGTTAGTTTGTCCTGATGTAATTTTTGAGCCAGAGATTTGGAAAGGGTTGTTCTACAGGAAATCCAGATGATATATACATTACAGGTGGTCTACAAAGTTCCATTGTATGGGTTTAAGTGGCTTGCCAAGACAAAGAGTTTGGACATTCAATCCCAGAAAATGCTTGAAGAGCTGTCATAAACTTGGAGGGGGTGGGGCGGGGGCTAGAGATTGTTTTCTTTGCACCTCAAGTAGAAAATTGTATATGAGGGTAGGGTGGAGAGAGATTACGGTTAGTAAGAAAGTATATTTTACCCATGTGTTCTTATCCGATTATAACAGCATTTATAATTTAATGAACTAGTTGAACTCTTCTGACAATAATTGATATATGTTATCGACATACCTGGAAAGACAATGCCAGTTAACATGTAACTAAACAATATATCAATTAATAATAGTCTTTCAAAGAAGTGACATTATAAGTGTATACAATTCTGCACCAATACTAAGAATGTATTTTTTTTTGTCATTTCGAAAATGTAACCATTCAGATACACTGTCAGTAATTGGTCTGTTATTAATTTTTGTACCTCACGCGCAAAGGTCTCTGCCTCCTTTCGGAGATCCTTCTCCAAATCCAGACTTTTTTCCAGGTCATCATATTCCTCCAGGGCCAAAATAGAAACTTAGAGAAACACAAATTTTAATTTTTTTTAATGTTACATTACAGTTATTCCATATTTTGAGTCAAAAAATATTTTCTGTATTAGTGAATATTTTTTACTTAATTCAGAGATATATATGTGTGTGTAACATATGTCCCTTAAACCTGAGCTTTTCTGATGAAGGGTCTAGGCCCGAAACGTCAGCCTCTCTGCTCCTATGATGCTGCTTGGCCTGCTGTGTTCATCCAGCCCTGCACCTTGTTGTCTAGAAAACTAAGTGTATTTGTTTGCGCACCTGAATGCTATTAATGGATTTTAAAGTCACATGTATGAAAAAGTTTGAATCTGCAGTAATCAGTACTTTTTTTATAATAATGAAAGATGCAAAATTTAAGAGTTTGCATTTTAAACTAGTGACATATGGGTTTGGTCTATTTGAGTGAAGAGGTTCAGTAATTAACTAGGTTTGCGCATGATTTTAAACCAGCGCATATCAGAAAGCAAATGACTGAAGGTCTTGTATTGTTTGAGTTGTCTTTGAGTTTAGAATAATTAAGAATTAATTTTAGCTTAGAAAACACAAACAATGGAAAGCTTTTATTCAGTTCAAATAAGACTGGACCAGGCTCAATTGCGAATTTACTTGCTTGTGGAGATAGAAATAGTTCAAAGCAATTAAGTGAGTATGTTACTTCAGTGAAACGACCGTAGTTTGTGAAAACTTCCAGAATGTTTGTTTAGAACTCTGCAGATTATTAAGGCACTGAGGAGATCTAAGTGGTTGGAGTGGTCAAGGGAAAGGTTTCCTATCTCTCAGGACTGGAATTGAAAAACAGTTAAATTAACATACAGGTTTAATAAGAAAAGAAAATGTCTCTGGGTTTTGGTTAATAGCAAATTGATTTTTTTTATTCATCAGAAGTGGGTATCTTCGGCAAGGCCAACATTTATGGACCATAACTATTTGCCCAGTCAGCAGTTAAGAGCCCACCACATTGCTGTGGGTCTGGAGTTACATTTAGGCCAGATCTGGTAAGGAAGGAAGATTTCCTTCTTTAAAGGACATTAGCGAACCGAATGAACTTTTAAAACAATAAACAGTGACTATATGATGGATAATAGGCTAGGTTTTGATTCCAGATTAATTTTATTAAAAATTAAATTTCACCATCAGCCATGATGAGATTCAAACACATGTCCCAGAACATTAGCATGGTGTTCTAGATTACTAGTCCAATAACAGCACCAGTATCTCACTACCTTGCTCTGATGTTGGGGAGTATATGGGAACTTCTTCCGTCAGGAGTTTGAAATATTTCAAACTGCGTTAGATGTAGATACCTTGGTTTTTTTTTCTTGTTTATAATATATCTGGTTTATTGTTAAAACCAAATCTGCAGCCTGGTGTTATTGTGCTTCAGTGAAAGACCACCACATTAGATTCTGGAAAAAAGAACAAAATATGATCTATCAAGCCAGATTACATTCTGGGATCTGACTTGTCCAGTGGTAACACTGGCTGGGACTGTAACATTTTAATAACCCTGCCTAAACTACATCGCTTTTGAAATGAAATATCAGGAAGAATGTTTAAAGTGTCTGTGTGACTAAAGCATTTCACTTTACAGAAAACAAGTTCCAAAATCTGCACTGAATAACCCTATCGCAGGGCAATTTCTCTTCATAAATAATTCTTATTTATTTGAGTTGAACAAATTTTGCTTGTTCTCATTCACATCACTAGATGGAGCACCAGTTTTTTTTATTGATTAAAATGGAGGCTCTGGGTGGAGGAACTGGATGGACATTGTCCAGCTTCCTTAATTGAACTGATTTTATCATCTACACTGCTCATGGAAAAGGTGGAGGCTTATCTGATTGTGTCATATTCTCATTTAAAGAACAATGTATCTTCTCCAAAAGACTTAGCAACAGAGATAATAGGAAGGAATACTTGCATTTACTTCTATTTCCTTTTGTTCCCATTCAAACATAGTTGCAAGGTGAAGGGAAATCACTCACTGCTTTTATCTTTTCAAGGTTACAGCAAAGAAAAATGGGAGTTTGTTGCAGTTTCTTTGTTAAAGAAGCAGCATTATGCAGTAACCATAATAATTTTGAAAAGCCAGCAGATATTGATTAATATGCATCAGAATTTCAATAAAACTGTGGTTACTATGTAATTTCTGTGTACCTATAATTGCTCTCCATAGTTTCCACTTTCCCAAAATAGTTAAAGAGAAGGTTAGGTCTTAAAACATTATCAATGGCTTTATTCAATCTTTATTGACAGAATATTTGAAGCACGTTTCACATTTCAGCTTGGTTGGATTTAAAGCCAATGCTTATTATGGTAATTATATTACATTTGGCCATTTTCTACACTCTCTGTTTTTAGCTCTGGACCACTTTATAGATTTAATGACTGATTAGGTACTCCTCCAACAAATTTCATGGTCAAAAGAGGAAAAGACTTCAATCCCTTTACTGTACAAGTCATACTGCCAAAGGTTAGGTAATAAAAATGCTGTGCACGCAGTTTCTGGTTTAAGGGCGTGAATATAAATGACACTTTGTCAGTCTTTAAATAGAGAATAATCGTTAAAATTTTAGATGAAGATCATCAAAGAAACTGTGCCATCACTTAGGTAGAACTTTTGTGAAGTTGAGTAGTAGTAAAATGTTGAGTAGTGAAATTACAACAATGAGTTGTGCTGGTAGAAGAGTTAACTGCAAACAACTTTTGATTAACTCAAAAGTTATCAAAGGTGTTTGTATATCTTTACACATGGCCCTTTTTTGTTTAAAGGCACAACTTTAACAGAGAATAGAATAAATCACTGATAGAAGGGAATCACTTGCACGAATTTAAAAAAAAGAAGGCATGTCAATGGGGAGGAAATGCTGGTTAGCTCATTCAGCTAGATGGTTGGCATGTGGTTCAAAACCTCACTTTTATCCCCATTCCAGATGAAGCAGACTTAGGGTTTGTCTCCTCAACTTGACCGCAGTAAAACCATGCCACAAGCTGCAGGTCAGCAGCCCATGAATAAACAAGGAGGCTCCTGAAGAATGAATAATGATAAATTATGAAGGTCAGAAGAATAGATGATATTTCTGCATCAAATGGTCTTGAGGTAGCCATAACGCCCAATGTAACTGAGTAATTATTGATTGAGAATGACGCCAGTAAAAAATTAATGATTCAGATAATGCACATGTACCCATTGATAATACAAAGCCATATTACACTATTCTCAGTACATATATATATATATATGTTAAAATGAAATTAATGGCTTTTATCTACAGTCATTGTCGTTCAGCCTCAGATACTTCACAGTAGCATTTGCCACTCCTTATTGCATTTTTGCAACAGAAAACCAGTAGTTATTTCTCTGATTTAACAACTAATCATTTTTCTAATTTCATGGCTTTATCAGAGAAAAAAATTAAACCTTTGTTGTACTTGGCTAGAAGTTGACTCTGCTTATCAATTTCAGCAGCCAGATCAATATTTCTCTGTTCTTCCTTCTGTAACTAGAAATAATAAAAATAAATATCCCATTACATTAAATACACGCAGCATGTAAACTGTAAAACTTACTTAAATCCACTTAAAGTATAAACTTCCCTATAATAGCAGTCTTTTTGAGTGATTTGAGTATCAAGATTTTTTTTTTACTTTCCGTATAGATATTTACAAATGCAGGAGTACATAATACATCCCCTTCAGCCAGTTCTGTTATTCAAGCAGATTGTGAGAGGTCTGGCCCTGAACTACCCTCCACCAATACCTCTCCACTGATATCCAACTGGGTGCTCTTGCCTGGTTCCATTCTTATTGATCTTCTCAGAGAGAATGACACTTCCAATAGTTTCTCATTCTGCTCTTGTAATATTACCTCCACCATATGACGTAACGATCTACCGTTGGTCCATTTCTCATCTACGTGCTGATCATGAAACTAAAAACCCACTAATGTCATTAGGAAAGGAAATCTTATTGTCCTTATCTGGTTTGATCCACACTTGACTCCAACTCAACAGCAATCTGGTTGACTCCTATTACAATTGTAGTGAAAATGGACTAAAAATATGCAACTTTCATCAATTGACTTTAACAATGAAATGTTCATAGACTAAAAATAGTTATAAAAAAGGACACTGCTGATCTAAAATGGAAGCTGTGATCACCCAACAAGCACAGGAAACTCCATTTGGAATATGCAAATCTGGCTGGCTTGGAATTACCTTTTTAATTAACAGGCACTAAAACTCAGAGAGGCACCAAGAAATTCCCATCTCTTGTTTTATTCACACTTGCATGATAACTGCACTTATTAGGAGATGAAAGGTTGCCCACAAATATCCAGTTTGGAATGAAAAAATGACACAGACAACAGAATCCATGAAGTAGCAGCAAAAAAAGGAGAGAAAACAACATGGGCTAATAACAGCAAGGATGCTTCTCTCTTTCTCTCGCTCTTTCTCAATCGCACAAACCAGTGCTGGTGAAAAAGCAACTTGGAAAAATCTTGTTCATTGAGGACTCAAGATATGCAAACTTTGTCACGTGTGAAAGAAACAAGACAATAGCTACACACTACGTTTGAGTCATTTCATTTTTACAACTCAAGGGACTCTCTATCTTAGTAACTGTATTTCCTATCTCTACTACATATGCCTGCTCCAAACCATTCTTTTCTCAGCTCTTTATCTATTTTTGTGCATGTTATTGATGTTGGGTTTTATTAAAGTTTCTATACAGTAGGCAATAAGACTCTACACGTAGAAAACCCTGGAATTGGCTCTCCTTCATTATTGATCTGCTTAACTGAGTTTAATTGAAGCCTGACAGTTATGTTTTAAAATATTTGCTGTGACTAACTGAGAGGGCATTTAAAAAAGAGGGGAGCTGTGACCTTTCCTCACTTGGGTGCATCACTTAACTGCCCTCAGAAATGGCGGTGCAAACATTATAAAGTGAGTCACCACCACCAGCTCAAGAACAAATAAAGATGTCAAATACATGTCAGCTTTGCCTGAAAGGTTCAAATCCAAAGAAAATAAAAGCCGCCCAAAACTAAAGTCATATTCCTTACAAGGTCTGACCAAAGCTTTGTTCAACTGAAGTATAACTTCATCATTTTTCCAACCCCTTTAGATAAATAAAAATATTTCAATGAACCTTTCTGATTACTTTTGCATCTGTGCACTACTTTTTCCGAAACTGATACTACTGATTCATGTGTTTATACATCCTTATGGTCCTCCACAGTTCCAAATTTCTGACCATGTCTCCCTTGACTTCACAATTCCTTTCAGGAAAATTGTTCATTTTAAAATCAATATACATTTCACTGACTTCTCTACATATTGCAGATTCACAAGTTAATCTTTTTAAACACATTACATACAATACCAACTCATTTTTACTGCTCAGGGACTAACTGACATGCAATTTTATAGTCAGCAAGATTCTGTTTTTATTTTACTTCGCATTTACTAACTTTGAGCAAGGTGAACAACAGTCACCAAATATTCTTTTTTGTACTGTGTGCTACACATATTTCTTCAGGTGTCTTACTTCTTGATGTTAACTACAATCAAAAAGGTGGGTCTGATCAATAATAAAGTCAGCATGTTGACTAAATTAATTGGTCTACCCTGAAGAAATATTCAAAATGCTCTTAGTTCGGTCCCTTGTTCATTTCCTATTCACTATCTCAATCCTGAGATGGCAATAGTGTCGCTATTTTGACGTGTGATGTATATTTCAAATTAACTTTAAACATAGAAACTGGAATTGATGGCAAGATTGCAACTCTGACAAGAAGAATCTACACTCAGAAGAAAACTGATGATGCAATAAAATATCACAAAAGACCTAACATTCCAGAATCTTTTTCAGACTAAATATTATGTATGATGATATTTAGCCATTTTGTTGCATCAATAGATTCTTTTATTAATCTAGCTGTACTTTGTCTGCAGACAATTGATTTTACATTAATTTCAGCCTTTCCATTGATAAATTAAATACTTTTAATGTTTAGTCACTGTTATTATGTGATGCAGCAGTCTATTTGCACACATAGTCCAAACAAGCAGCCTTGAGGTATGTGACCAGATAATTAAAACATCTTATTGTGAGCTGAGGAATAAACATCCAGAACACAAGAAGAATTCTTTTGCTCCTTATGGGAAACTGCTGCATTACATTGAAATGTCGACTTAGATCCTATTCTCAAATCTGTGGATAGCAGCTTCAACACATAAATTTCTTACTCAGAGTTCAAGTTGACACTACTCGCCTAATAATGTCCAAGAGTAAAATTGAGATCGTAATTATTTCAAATATCTTGCATTACTCATCAGTAACAAATATTACTCTGAATCCAATACCCATCAGTAACAAATATTACTCTGAATCCAATACTTACTTTATCAGTTAGGTCCTCCCAAAGACCTTTCAGGTTTTCCAACTGAAAGGATAGCTGCTTCTTCTCTTCCAGTGTTGATATCAACTCATTTCGAAGCTCTATATTTAGAAACATTTCTTAATTACATAAATAACTGCTTTCTTTTCTTACTCTAACTTTTAGCAAAGTTTGCAATTGTCAGAATAAGGGTTCTCGATGTTGAAGAATGGAACAGTGTTGGTTTTGCATGTTTCTAGATTGGATAAATATGGTTTAATAAAATTCTGTGTGTTCCAAGATTAAGCGTGAGCCCAAATGAATCATAGAATCCCTACAGTACAGAAACAGGCCATTTGGCCCATTGAGTCACACTGACCTTCCGAAGAGCATCCCACTAAGACCCATCCCCCCTCCCTATCCCCGTAACCCCACATTTCCCATGGCTAACCCACCTAGCCTGCACATCCCTACACACTATAGATGCTACCAACACTAAGCAAATAAAAAAGAAACTTCTATAGGTCTTAATGGGTGTTTGGAAATGTTTTACAACCACATTATTTGTAGTTATTAACCAACAAATAAGAGGCCAATCTAGAATGTGAGTACGTCTTTGAGCTGGTCTCAGACAATTATTTCATATTTGTTTCAGTTCTCATAAATGATTCAGTTTGAAACGTGTGCAGCTTATTAGGATGCAAAGATGAAAAAGCAACCTCCATTAAGGTATTGCTTCAAAATAAGGCAGAGCTGATTTAGGACTAAGTTGACGAGGAGCATCTTCACCCAAAGGTTTATGAATCTGTGGAATTCTCTGCCCAGTGAAGCGGTTGAGGCAACCTTATTGAATAGTTTTAAGGCAAAGACAGATAGATTTTTGAATAGCAAAGGTATTAAGGGTTATGGTGAGCAGGCTGGTAAGTGGAGCTGACTCCATGAAAAGATCAGCCATGATGTTATTGAATGGTGGAGCAGGTTGGACGGACCAGATGGCGTACTCCTACTCCTATTTCTTATGTTCTTATATGATCTCACATATATTACATATCTATAATGCTTTGCAAGAATAAGAACAACATTAACATGTAAGGCAATTACATTTTTTTTAATTTCAAGGAACTGCATGGGTGGATTTAGGAATTCTCTTTTCAATGAAATAGTGTTCTTTTTTACAATACTTCACCTTGAATTTGCTGTTGGCAGTCAACTGAGGAACATCTGGCATCTTTGTCTAATGTTGTATTTGTCGTATCAATTGCTGAATCCTCATCTAAAGACAGGTTTAGAGGGATGGTCTCCTTTCCAAGTTGTGCCATGTACAACATGCTGATTCTTTTAAGAAACTTGTTGTCTTTGTCCAGCTGAAAGACAAAATTTCTGCAAAGCTCAGCAATTTTGTCCCAAACACTGATCATCAAAGTAATATTCTTCCCTTGCTGCGGTGAATTCAGCTTTGTAAAGGTCAGCATTCAGTCTGGCATTTCTTTCTGATTTCCAATGGTTTTGCTCAGGGATGCGGGATAATCCCGAGAAATACCTGCCATGAGTGTTACTGCATTTGTTAATAAACCATTTGATTCTGTAACGAAGTATGAAATTATAAAGCACCTACAGAACTAGAAATAAATTAGAAACATAAGTACATTTTAAAAAAAACTGGAGTAATTTTATAGAATTCTATGAAAAGACAGAAGAAAGGATAAAGGAAATACAATGGCTTCTAAAATATAGATTTGAAAAATCTGCTAATTTACCAGGGTAGCACTGAGAAACCAGCAAACTGCAGGATCATAAAACCAAAATGTATAAGAGCAGAATTCGACCATTCAACCCACTGAGTCCACTCCACCAATCTTTACTAATATATTTCTCAACCCCATTCTCCTGCCTTCTCCCTGTAACCTTACTAATCATGAACCTATTTACTTCTGCCTTAAATACACTCAATGATTTGGCCTCCACAGGCTTCTGTAGCAATGAGTTCCACAGATTAACCATCCTCTGGCTGAAGAAATTCCTCCTCATTTCAGTTCTAAAGCATTGCCCCTTCACTCTGAGTCTGTGCCCTCAGGTCCTAGTCTCTCCTACTAGTGGAAACATCTTCTCCACATCCACTCTATTTAGGCATCTAGGTATTCTGTAAGTTTCAATCAGATCCCCCGAAATCCTATAACCTTCATTGAATTCAGACCTAGAGCTCTCAACTGCTCCTCATTCGACAAGCCCTTCATCCCCGGGATCATTCTTGTAAACCTCATCTGCACCCTTTCAAGGCCAGCACATTCTTCTTCAGATACAGGGGCTAAAACTGGTCAATATTTCAAATGTTGTCTGACCAGAGCTTAATACAGCATCCACAGTACAACTCTGCTCTTCTATTCTAGTTCCCTTGAAATGAATACTAATACTGCATTTGCCTTCCAAACTGCGAACTCTACATGCCTGTTAACCTTAAGTGAATCCTGAACTAGCACTATCTCATTCAGAACACCAGTGAGTAGTCCATCTAGTCCGGGTCATTTATCCAGACTTTTCAGCTTCCCCAGCACCTTCTCCTTAGTGATGCCTACTACACTCACCTCTGTACCTTGACTGTCTTGAAGTTCTGGTATCTTGCTGGTGCTTTCCACTGTGAAAACTGAAGGAAAGTACCTATTCAGTTCCTTCACTTTTCTTTGTTCCCCATTACTACTTCTCCAGCCCCATTTTCCAGCAGTGCAATGTCCACTCTTTCCCATCTCTTACCTTTCAGATACCTAAAAAAAACTCTTGCAATCTTCTTCTATGTTACTAGCTAGCTTACTGTCATATTTCATCTTCTCCCCCATTATTGCTTTTCTAGTTGTCCTCTGCTGGTTTTTTAAGGCTTTCCAATCCTCTGGTTCCCACTAATCTTCACCACATTGTATGCTTTCTCTTTTGCTTTATGTTGTCCCTGACATCCCTCGTCAGCTATGGTTGCCTCATCCTCCACTTAGTGCGCTTTTTCTTCCTCGGGATGAATTGCCGCTGTGCCTCCCGAATTAACCCCAGAAACTCTGCCATTGCTGCTTCATTGTCTTCCCTGCTAGGGTTCCCTTCCAATTACCTCTGGCAAGCTCCTCCCTCAGTCTTTGTAGTTATCTTTATTCAATTGTAATATTATTACATATGATTCAAGCTTTTCCCATTCTGACTACTGTTACGAGGCCTATACACGACTCCCATCAGGGTCATTTCTTCCTCTGCAGTTCCTCAACTCACCCCACACAGATTCAATGACTCTGACTCTGTATTGCTTCTTGCTATCAACTGAATTCAATTTCTTACGAACAACCTAACCTTGCACCCCTTGCATGTCCTTTTGATTGGACATATATCCTTGGATATTTTGTTCCCAGTCCGATCCCTTTGCAGCCATGTCTCTGTGACACCCACAACATCATATCAGCCAATTTCAATTGGTGTTACAAGATCATTTACCTTGTTTTGCGTAGTCGACCCAACAGCACCCTCAGGTGTGCACTCATCGCACCCCCACTCCCTTCTCATAGTTGTCCCATTATCTGCTGCGCCTTAAGTTAAATTGCTGACCTTTTCCATACTCTCTGTCCTGTTACTTGTTCTGTTAACTTCACCAACCTCTGCTGAGGACTCCCTCTCTTTAATCTGGTCCATAATTTTCCATGCCGCCCCCAACCCCACTAATTAGTTTCACATCAGACAATCTCATCAGAGACCTGTGGGGGACAGGAGAGTGAGTCAGCAGCCAGAAAACCAGTGCCTGGATTTGGGAGGTGGGGGAAGGGGAGTGATCTGTTCGAGATGAATGTGCAGAACAAGAGGGAGGAGTTGAGATCAAGTGGACATAAATATGCACTTTGTCAATACAAACTGGCATCTCAATAAGCCTTGGTGTTAAGCACCGAGAATCTGGATCTGTAGACTTTAACAGTTTAATCTCAGCCTTCTCAATGAATGTGGTGATAACGCACTTTAAGACAGAAACTGCTCAAATAACATGCAGAATGACAAAGGCCAAGAACAAAATGAGAATCTATGTGGGAAGAACATGTTTCTTCAGCATAATGCAATCATTGCAGAAAAGCAATCCACGGGCACTGTAAAAACACACAAGCATTTAGATTACAGCATAAATGGTGGCATGATAGAGGACAACAAGGTTGAACATGGGTGAAGCAGGTGCATCTATCTACATATACAAGAGGCTCAAAAACAGGCAAACGGTTTCCAAGATGATGTTCTTGGTAGGCTGAAAATCTGGGGATTTAAACACCGGATGCAGAGGGAACAACTAGCTGAAAGTAAGGAAAACCAAAATGGTGGGGGAAAGAAAATTGGGGAATCTCACACCAGAAATATTGGAAGTTGCAACTATATCTGCAAAGGGAGCTCTTTGCATAGCGAATTGCTATCAAATATGTTTACGTAGACAATTTAGTTTGTCAATGTTCAAATTTGTATCAAAAATCCTAATAATAGTAAGCTTCATCAACAAGCTGCATACATGGATGCTAAAGAAATTGTACGTCAACCTTTTTTTTAAATTTCTCTGTCCACTTTTATCATGGTGACTTACTATAAGCTAGTCAAGCTGAAATTACATCCTCCTGCTAATGATGGCACTGCAAATAGTGCAATTATAGCAGGGAATATTTATGGAGTCAGTCCGTCTAATAGAATTGGGTCAAAGGAGCCAGGAGTTTGTGTCTTGTGGACAAGATGACTTTGGAAGTGAATGAAGGGAGATGGGAGAAACCAGAGCAAGTTGGGAGTTCCAGGCAAGAGCAGGGAGGAACTTTAAAAGAAGTTTGTCCCAGTGGCCTAATGGAGGTATGGAATGTGGCAGACACAGCTGATTGGATGTCATTTTCTTAGTGACAAAGTAGACCATGGACCTCAGACACTTGTTGGAGGTGAGCTTGCAGAGGACAAGGGGATATGGTTTCAAGAAGATTTATTGCAGCAGGGAAAGGAAGTCAGCTTTCAGGAATTTCTAGGAATACTGGGTAGATGATGGATTAGTGGTATTGCCAGGTTATTAATCCAGAGACCCAGGTAATGTTCTGGGGACTTGAGTTTGAATCCCACCGTGGCTGATTGTGGAATTTGAATTCAATACTAAGCTGAAAATAAGAGTCTAATGATGACCATGAAACCATTGCCATTTGTTAAAACAGTTTTTTAAAATATTTATTCATGGGATGTGGGCATCACTGCGTAGGTCAGCTTTATTGCCCACCCCTAATTGCCCAGTCAGTAGTTAAGAGTCAACCACTTTGCTGTGGGTTTCGAGTCCCATGTTGACCAGACCAGGTATAAATAGCAGATTTCCTTCCCTAAAGGACATTAGTGAACCACAAGGGTTTTCCCTGACAAATGGCAATGGTTTCAAGGTAAACTATACCTACTCATCTTTTTTGACTTATCTGTAGCATCTTTGACAGAGTAAGCAACACCATCCTTCTCCATCGCCCCTCTACTGTTAACAGTTATGGGGACTTCTGTCACTTGATTCAATTTTAACAATCTAATCTTAGTCAGAAAATCATTGGCAATGATTTCTCCTCCAGCTCCTGCACCATTATCTCCATGGTTCCTCGAGGATTGATCCTTAGCACCCTTCATCTATATGTTACCCCTCAATAACATGATGCAGAAGTATGTCCTCAGTTTTCAAATGTGTGTTGAAGACACCCAGTTCTACCTCACTTACAACGTGCTCAACTCCCTCACAGTCACTAATTAACCAGACTGCTGAACAGACATCCAGTACTGGATGAGCAGAAATTTCCTCTAGTACAAAAAGTAGGAAGACTAAAGCCATTGTTTTCAATCTCATTACAAACTCCAAACTCTAGTTACTAACTCCATCCCTCTCCCCTCGCAACAGTTTGAGGTTAAGCTGGCCTGTTCACAACCTTGGTGTCTCAGCTGATCCTGACATGAGCTTCCAACCCCAAAGGTTGTGCCACCAGTACATTTTGAAAATTTAACCTAACTTCACCTATAGTCAGCTCATCATTGCTATTATTGCTGCAGGTGCCTCAGCCACAGGTATTGGAACAGTCAAAAGGATACAGAAAACCAATGCTATATGCAATCTGAGCATTATTTGATACTGAAACTCAATATTCAGTTACCAAAAAAGAAGTTCTCTCAATTACATGGGCCCTGAGAAATTTCAGATTACATACTGGGTCTCAAAGTTCTTATAAAGCTGCTGGTCTCTGTTAGATGAAAAAAGATTTAGCATGAATTCCTCTGTGTATAAAATGGCTTCATTTTCATTTCATGAGATTTGTATATGAGGTCAAATGCATGTAAAAGAAATGACAACTATCAGCAGATGCCTCCTCCA